GGAACGCTGTTCAAAAACCAGCACAAGTGCGACCGTATACCAACAGAGATTTTCTTGGGCTCGCACAGACGCAACCCTCAGATCTGGTAGGCTTTTGATAAATAAATATCCGATTGGAATTCGATGAAATATCGCACCGGGTCCTAACTGTAACCGCAGCTTTGAGGATGATAACGTGATTTACCTCAGATGACCAACTTTTGGGAGGTTGATATAAAAACTTTGAATTGCTGTTTATGAACGGCCCTGTGGTGCTCTGCGAGACTGAACCCAACCACCTGCAAAACTTCGTTCTTGGCACACAGCTTATTTACCAGTTATTTACTATTCAATTTTTAGGAAAGCTTTTTATGGTCCAAGTGTGGCGCCACGTATAAGGCAACCAACCACCTTAACTTGTCGCGGTTCTCGTTGATGAAATATGGATCTATATCTAAGCACTGCTGAGCGCTCGAAACCATCAAAACCACGCGCAGAAGCGGATATCGAAAAAAAATATTGTTCAAAAAAAGAAAAAAACGATAACCGAAGAATGTTATGCAGCGGTTTAAGATCGTTTCAACTTTCAAATTAGGATACAGGGTATCAAAATTGTAAAGAAAGAAACACTTTTTCATTACACTTTGGAGGAGGTTTTGGTCATTGAATCACTCTACGTGACTATTGTTATCTCATCCTCCGTGTGCTTCAGGCTTGGTTTTCTGCGCATACCAAACATGTAAACATAAATACCCTTCTTGTACAAAATTTTCGTCAAATAAAAACGAATTATTGAATAGTTCGGGAAAAATATTTTACTTTTGAAGCGTTACACGCAAAGGCAACACTTCGAAGTTAATCTATATAAGCCATCATACTGATAATCGCATATCAGTAGATTTGTACAAATTTCGCCGAGCATAATAAATTTCGCGGTTGTTATCTTAATCATAACCGTTAAATACAACCTTGATATTTTCAAATGGCATGGAAAAGCCGCTAATATATAATAGAACTACACAATTCTGATAAAAGAGACGCACGCATGTTCATACGTGCATGCGTACATACTTGCGAGGGGAGACTGAAAAGTTTTACCTCCAAGTGTCATTACTGTCTCTTCTTGCATGCCACTATAAATACCTAATTTCATGTCAGTAATATCCTTAGGATTTCAGTAAAAAAAAAGCCGTAAACATTACCATGTGTGAGTCATCCGCGCATTGTACTAAATTGAAGTGCAGAGCTGCCCTCAAATTCCTCACAAAAAAGAATAAAACGCCGACGGAAATATTTGAAGTAATGCCTACTAAGCGTTGGAGCCGAGAATTCAGGCATGGCAGGGAGTCGCTGGAAGCTGATCCCAATTCAGGACATCCAAACACTGCCGTTTTGTGAACGGAGACTATTATGTCACAGAGTTGATAAAAGTGTATCAAGTGGTTGTCGAGAATGGGAGAATCCAAAGAAGTCCTGCATGACATTGCACCCATGCGCACTGCGCTAGTTACAATGCGTGCCCTGGCCGACACCGGATTTGGAGCAATCAACCACCCACCATACAGGTCGGACCTGACCCGAGCGATTACTTCCTGTTCTCTAATTTAAAGAAACCCACTTGACGAAGATTTTCAGGTGAAAAGAGAAGTCGGCAGTAGAGCGTGTCGGCGAAAAAGACGGC